TTTTTTTTTAAATTTTTAATTCTTGAAGCTCAAACGTGTTTGATTTGTTTTGAAAGCTGTTAAGATGTATTTATGTCCTGTATTATTTTATCTTCAATGATTGAAGTAATTTGTGCAGATGGTAGAATGTAAGATAAAATGGAAGCCTGGGAGCTGAGGACTTGGGCCAGGAGGGCAGGTGGGGTTGGGACCCCGGATCGGGGCCCAGGCTTCCTGGAGGCTGCTGGGACTGTGGGGGAGAAGGAATTTGCCTTGTAGTGTCTCTGATCAGGTTGGGGTGCTCCTGGCACCAGGCATTGACTTGAGATTTAGGAGGCAGGGACATCATTGAGTTTCAACCCTGCCCACAACTGTGCTAAGTGGTAGAGATGGGAATTTCCTGGGATGTGGTGGCTTCAGACACACGTTAATCTTGGCTCTTAGGAGCCAGGCGCCACCTCCAAGCTGTGAAACTAAAACCTTCTTCACTAAGCGTTTTTAGATTCTTCATTTTAGCTGAATAATACCTGACTTACCTGTACTGCTTCCGCTGTACGCTGAGCTATGATAACTGCCAATTTTATGGAAACGCGTGCCTTTAAACTTTGTAAATTTAAATACATGGAAGAAGTTGCTTCTTTTTACTTTTTCTACTTTCCTACCTTTTTCTAGAGAAGTCTTTTTTGCATATCTCTTTCTGTGGGTGGGGGTGGGGAACTACAGCACACTCATTTTTATGCAATCTATTTTTCAGTGTTGAGTTTGAACTTTTGCTCTCACTTACCTGCTGTGGTGTTTCACTACTTTCTGACCAAGCCATGCTAACTTTTGTACAGATTGATTTGATAAAATTAAAAAAAAAATGCTTTCTATCTACATGGGCTGCATTGTTTGTTGCTTTCCCTAAGCCTGGGGATTTTGGGCTCCCAGGCCCTCGGGCCCCATTTTGAAGGCACTTGGCCAAGGCAGAGGTGAGCTCGTTGAGCCTCGGAGGACGTGGGCAATCAGAGCTCCTGGACCCAGCCAGACCCCAATCCAAGGTGGAGCCCCCTCTCCATCCCAGGGCGGTGACGAGACCACCCTCCCTTTTGGGCACCGTGTCCGAAATTGAACATGACAAATCTCAGAAACCTCCAGGAAGCTGGCGATGCATCTTCCTTCCTAGGGGGCCTCGTCAGTAGGCAAAGCGGGTCCAGATGGGCCAGATTCAGGGGCTGTGGTTTCCTCCTAGGCAAATCCCAGAGTGGGTTTCTGGGTGGCTGACGGCATTTTTCGGGCGCTGGCACAGGGCCAGGCTGGGAGCGGGATAAAAGCCGCCCTGCAGGAGCCAGGCAGGGCTGTCTGGTTGGCGGAAAGTGTTTCTAGGGAGAAATGGTTGTGGGGAGTGACAGCAAGCAAGGGGTAGCCTCACCCCCTGGCTGGGCCTCCCCGGCACACGCGGCTGGCTCGGGGGGCCTCTCGGGGCTGGGGGGTAAGAGGAAGATTATGCTTCTCATGAGAACCTAGATACATGAGGCAGCTGCCTTTGCAATTTTAATGGGGTGGCCCAGGTAGGGGGGCATTCACCCCTTTCCCTCGCCTGCCCAGCCGCCTGCGTGGCTGCCTTCCAGGGCACGTCCCTCGCCCCATGCTGGGGAGCCATGTCCAGGGCTTGCCAAAAGCAGTGTTTGGGAAGAACTGTCCGGGTTTATGAGGGTTGGTGTGGTCCAGGGTGTGCCAAGCCTCCGGGGCAAGGCGGGGTACGGGAGGGGGCCACAGAAAGCCAGGCTCCCTGTACTTTCACAGCCCTCTGCCTGCATGGAACTGGCCCAGCTCGTCCTGTGCCCAGCCAAGGGCTGTTCAGGCCCATATGGCCCTCAGAGCCCTCCCATTGACAGCCCAAAAGGAGGAATCCCGTCACCCAGCTCGCTGATAGGCGAATGAGGCCGCCCCTTGGCTGCTCTGGGCTCGCTCAGGCCTTGCCAGGCTCCCGAGGGCTGAACTTTCTGCCGTTTTGTTTGGACTTGGCAGGGCTCCTGTGTGTTAACTCCCGGGGGCCTGGCCCTCCTTCCCCCCAACCTACCCTGGTGTAAACGCCTCATGGCGCTGGGTCCTGGATGGGTTTCCACGGGTTCCCTACCCCTGAGCTCATGAAGCTTCAGGGAGAGGGAGGACAGTTAGTTACCCCTATCCTGGGGAGGCCGTGCCCCTGCCTGCGCACGAAGACGAGATGCCCTGCCCTTTCCCCTGCCTGTCCCAGGCCCCCGCCCCGCTGCTGGCTTCCTCTCTAGGCGCATTCTCGGCCACTCAAGGGCCCTGGGGATCATGGGGTCTCTGCCTCCCGCAGTGACTCAGGGAGCTGAGGTGGACGCCCTGGGAGTCAGGACCTCTATGAAGAGACTGCCCTGGGGACTGCCCTGGCCCTCTGGCTGGTGAGGATATTTCAGGAGCTCCTGGCTGGTAACACCATTCACAAGGCCGGCCCCGACCCCGGCCCTGCCTTGCTCCAAGTCCACGGGGGTGTTTGCCCAAACTTGTGCAGAGCCCTGTTCTCACTCAGAGCAGCCCATCCCAGGGATGGGCTAGTGGGAAAGTTCCTCATTTTTTATTTCCTCATCCAGAAAAGAGTGTGTTGCCTTCGACCTCAGCTAAAGAGAATGCCCTGTTCAGAGAGAAAGGGGAAACGGCCTTTAAGATGCAGCCCACAGAAAAGCCCCTCTGGTCCCGGGCATAATCGCCCTTCCTGGGACGGTATCAACTTTCAGGAGTGGAGTCTCTGTTTGGGTGTCGGTTCGCGGCCGAGGGACCGTCTACTTTGGGAGGGGCCTGCCACCCCCACTCACCAGGCCTGACCCGGGGGGCAGATTTGGGACACACACAGCCTGCTTCTACTTTAGGCCACATTTAGGAGGACAGCGCCCAGGATGGGTGTCACAGTCTTGGGGTCCTGGCCTGGTTTCTGGACCCCAATCTTTCGTCCTCAGTGTCTGGCCCAGGACAGAGGATCTTCGTGAACCCTGTTGCTGGCTGACCAGGTTTGCAGGGGCTGCTGTCCATCGGGATGGGGGGATGTGTTTCCCAGTGGCGACATGACAACCCCCAGGTGCTCAACAAGTCCTCGCCACCTGTGTGGACAGCCTCCAGGGACTCATGCCACCGGGCTGCACAGAAAGCCTGTGTCAGCCAGGACCCAGCCTCGGGGCCACGAGTCAGCATGGCCAAATGCCCCACTCCCACGGGAGGACAGTGCAGACCCCAGACAGGGAGTGCTGCCCCCACCAGGCACTCGAGCCAAGGAATCATTCAGAGGGCCTGGAGTGTGTAGATGTAGGGTGCCCCCAGACACGGCCCCCGACCAGGCCCCTGCTCCCTGCAGCCTGCACTGTAGCCCTGACCCATCCTGAGGACATGGCAGCTGAGCTGGCCAATGCAGGTGAGGGGCTGTGCCTCCTGACCCCCTGTTCCCCCTGGCCAGGATGTGCTTGGGGGCTGCAGGGACGTACCTGGTCCCTGTCACTCTGGGAACCCTTACATTCCGAGTCGCTGGGGAAAGAGAGGGCATCACCGCCCTGTCTGCGTTTCAGAGGCTCCCGCTTCCTGTCTCACTCCTGCAGAAGCCTGCCCACTTTTGGAGTCTTCCGTATCCTGGAGGGAGCAGGTCTGCAGATGACATCTCCCCAGGATGGGGCTCACGGGGGGCTGCAGGAACCTTCAAAGGGGGACAGTCGGGGAGGGAAGGGGCAAAGGGGGAGATGCCTGGGGCTTGGGTCCCACCTTCACATGAGGCCCATCCTGGAGCAGAGAAGGGCCCCGCCTGGCGCTGAGGGCTGTTGTGTCTTGTTTCGTCCAGCGTCTCTGGGGCACCTGGCTGTCCTCTGGGAACTTGGTTTGCCACCTGTAAGATGAGAGTGTTCCTCACCTTGGTGCGGGGGGACTCAGTGAGACTGGGACCTGCTGCGACTTTACCTCCCATCACATGATACTTCTTTTTGCTCGTTTGCAACATAAGGTGCGTTTGCTGGTAAGCAAATTAAGTAAAAGTGAAATAGGCCTGGATGTCACCTCTCCCATCCCTGCCTCTGGGGTGCTCCTGCTGCACCGAGATGGTCGGGCTCCCCCACAAGAAGGCTGACTGAGCAGTGGCTGGGAGCTCTGCCACTTGCCAGTTTAGCCTCTCTGTGCCTCAGCTCCCCCAGGACCATGGAATGACGATGGGCTTGCCGAGGTGCCCCGAGGATTAACTAGGTGTGGCCAGGGCCAGCATATGGTCACATGTGACAAGCACCGTTCTGGACCATCCGGCTAGTAGACTCGTCCCTGGACTCGTGGGAATTTCACTCCTCTCCCCGTTTCTCCCCCAGCCTCACGGTGACTTGTTGGCTTGGCCCCTCTCAGCTGGGCCCTGGGATGGCTAGTCGGGGGCTCAGGCAGCCTCCCTGCCTCCGCTGCCCAGGTGAGGCTGTGCTGGGCAGGCTCCTATGTACCTATAGCAGCAGCCCTCTCTGCACCTCCCAGCTCTCCCTAGCCCCGTGGTCGGCAGACTGCAGCTCTCGAGCCACATGCGGCTCTTTGGCCCCTTGAGTGTGGCTCTTCCACAAAATACCACGTGCGGGTGCGCACGTACAGTACGATTGAAACTTCGTGGCCCATGCGCAGAAGTCGGTATTTTGTGGAAGAGCCAGTATTTTGTGGAAGAGCCACACTCAAGGGGCCAAAGAGCCGAATGTGGCTCGCGAGCCGTGGTTTGCCCAGCCGCAGACAGTTTGCCACTGCCCTAGCCCATCTGTCCCAGAGGGCGGGGGCCAGACCTGGGCTCCTCCAGCTGCGGCTGCCCTGGGAGGCTCCCTAACCAGCTCAGGCCAGGTTCTTCCCTGCCCACCAGAGGCTGCAGCAGCCCCACTCACCCGCTCCCCAGAGGCTGAGGCAGGCTGGCACCCCGAGCCAGGATCCT